TTTTTTTAATTAATAAATTTTATTTGTGTTCCCCTCTAAACAATGAAAGAACGTACAATACATTATATTAATTCACAAATAAATAATTTTTGAAGTACAGTATAACATTATTTACTTACACACCCTAGTGTTGAACTTGTTTAATTTATAATCATCCTTTTACGATAATCCGCATTAATGTTAATTACCCAGTTGGTTTTAACACCGTCTCATGATTTATGTTAGGCAGAAATCCACTTTAACAATACTGTAGATATTGTTAGGCTAAACTCACTGATGCAGAATGTAAACACTGGGGAAGCACATTTTTCCCTTCACTTGTCAAATCCAAGATGGCATATATCCACAGAAACTACTTTTCAATCCTCCACACAGACCTCCATTCAAGATACCACAGCCACCATGCAAACTTCAATCCCATGCTTTATTTCAACGTGATTACATCTCTATCCTCACTTGAGTAACAAACGCCAGCATTATTAATCATTGCGTAACCTTGTAATCGCTGTGAAACTTCCCATTATTGGTGAAAGGAAAACATTATCATTCATATTTTGCTCTATTTTGGCGACTGTGAAGTAACCAGTGTAATTTTGTAACTTCGAAAATGGCTAGCAAGTGTCTTGATGCTGCTCCAACATCTGGGAAAGCCAAGGCTTTGAGGAAGACCGTGTTTATAGAGACAAAGTTAAACATTGTTAAGTGGCAGGCTTGTTATTATTAATGTGGCATGTTTAATTTTTTTGTATTTAATTAATTAGTGTAGAATTGCTTTTTTTTATTATATGTCTGTGTCAGACAGGCCAGCAAATATATTCCATTAAAACCCATGTTAAAAAGCTCAGAATTTATGTTAGTGTATTCAGGAACACAACCCTATTTAAAATAGGGGGGTTTATCCACCCCACATTACAACTATATATATATATATATATATATATATATATATATATATATATATATATATATATATTATATATATATATATATATATATATATATATATATATATATATATATATATATATATATATATATATATATATATATATATATATATATATATATATATATATATATATATATATATATATATATATATATATATACACACACACACACTTTGGTCATAAAAATTAAATTGCAATAAATGAAAACTGTGGTTGGTGAATTTGTGATGAAAGAAGACTACCTGTTATAATTACAGTACAGTATACAATTTTCTTTTTCGGCACATACATACAGTATACAGTATATCACAGGGATTTACACTAATGTCCCACCACTAAAGAAGAGAATGGTAAGGCTCTAATTGTGCATTTATTATTCTCTATATAATTTACACTAATGTGAAAACACATGTAGCTACTGCTTAACGCGGTCAATAAAACCCACAGGGTACCGTATAAGTGAAACCGCTAAGTGAACAACAGAACATATGGGATTAATTCCAATAGAAACTGGCCCGACCCCCAAACTCCACTTTTTCCGACACAATACCTATGTTCTAGTAAAAATAACATCTTAATTTTATGATGGCACATGCACACAATTAATACTTAAGAGAAATAAGAAATACAGTCGCCAAGTTAATGTCCATTCAAATAATGGACCCACTCCTCCCCTTCTCACACTACACTGCGGTTTCTTCCTCTGAGAAATTTTTGGGAAAAACCACTAAATTTTAATAAATAATACCTCAAACTAAAGTTAGATAATACAATTGACATTGCTGGATTCCTTGTAAGACCAGGAATATTTTGAATATAAATGTCATATATTTTGCACAAAACATAACATATTTACTCAGAGTAAACATTACATCTAAAATTTGTGTCTAATGCAAAATCTATGATGTTTATATTCAAAATGATCACCAAATTATAAGAATTCCAGCAATGTAAATTATATTCTGACCGGAATTTGTATGAATTTTATGAGCCAAAACAAATATCTAAAGTAATAAAAAAAAAATATTCTTCACACGGTAACAGATGGTCGGTCGGTCCCTCCCTCCCCACCCCCCACCAACCCTCCCTACCAGATGTGGGAAAACCAGAATATTTACCTTTTTAGTAATAAATAATACCTCAAACTAATTAGGATAATATAATTGACATTCTGGATTCCTTGTAAGACCAGGAATATTTGAATAAATGTCATATATTTTGCATAAAAAATAACATAATTACTCAGAGTAAACATTATATCTAAATTTGTATGTCTAATGCAAATCTATGATGTTTATATTCAAAATGACCATATTGTAAAGAATTCCAGCAATGTAAATTATATTCTGCCGGGTAATTTGTATGAATTTTATGAGCTAAAAACAGGCAGGGTGGCGGTGGGCGAATCAAAAATAGCCTCGAGCCGACACTTAGTATATACGTGAAAAAAACCGCTAAGTGAAAGTTCAGCCTACAGGCAATCGTATACTTAAACCGTGTTAAACGGGGTATTACTGTGTATATATATATATATATATATATTTTCATTTAGTCCATATAGCAATCTCTGGTCACACGCATAAGGCCGAGGGTTGAGTCCTGCTGGTGATATATATATATATATATATATATATATATATATATATATATATATATATATATATATATATATATATATATATATATATATATATATATATATATATATATATATATATATATATATATATATATATATATATATATATATATATATATAATCAACACCTCAACCGCCAGGATTCAACCACGGCAACACCTATGATGTGACCGGGAACGCTAACCGCTGACCACCAGGATACAAGCAGTCCTAGACTTTGTTATATTTCCCACAAAGCCTGTTCAAGCAAGCTTATGCGCATGAACCTCTAATGGGGACCACCCGTGTCACTTGGGCTAATGAAATATATATATATATATATATATATATATATATATATATATATATATATATATATATATATATATATATATATATATATATATATATATATATATATATATATATAATATATTATATATATATATATATATATAAACATAACAATAAAACAATTATAAAATTTGGCACAGGAAAACATGTGACTGTCCTTTCTATTTGAGACATTTAATTTGAGAATAACATTTAATTAGCAGTTAAAAAATATTATTTAACATTTATTTATAATTATATACTTCTTTATGGTTAAATATTTCCATGACACAAGAATATTTTATTATGACTACAATACATGAATGGTGCAAAAAATTATCCAGTAAAGAGATTCGTGCAGCTCACTATACAGTACTTTATTTTTTCCGTCATGGTTATACTGTATATGGGAAATAGGGAAATATTACAGTGTTTTAACTAAAAACCTGTGAATATGCCTTGCTGAAGGCATTTGGACAAATGGTTAGATGGGAGCAAAGGAAATATCGTACAGGGTCAGAGAGACATTTGGTGATGAAACATTGGGAATAAAGTTGTTTCTCTGACCCTATGTTTCCTTTGCTACCACATAACCATTGCAGAGGCTGGGCTTAAACTGAAGAATTAGCTATTTCTCTAACAGCAACCAAAACCCTAAACAAAGGGGGATCTGTGAAGCCATACTTGTTTTAAGCTGGAGACTAATAAGCCAGGGTCATCCCATATATCATGTGTGACCTGCTCTTCAACCACTCAGGCTGTTAAGGCCCGTCCACACGATCGAGCAGTGCCTGGCGGGCACGCGCTAAATGCCCGTTATCAGGCAAAATTGGCGGGCAAACCAGCGGAGTGCCCGTGGTCGAGCGAAATCATGGTCCGCCTGCCTGGTGGTTTGCTGCCGGATATGGAACGACAACTTTAAGTACTGCAAATGTGATACGTATATGTTCCCTGCTCGGTCCAGATGTCCAGTGTATAACCAAATAAGCTTATGCAATTTACATTATTGGCGTGACAATAAACGGGAGATTGTTTATGTATTATGTAATGAGGACATTCGTGTGTGTTCTTCGTTCCTGCCGCTCTCCTCACTCTAGTCCCATAGCTTCCTGTCTATGCATATCATAATTCTAACATTATTCAATGAATTTTTATGTATTACAAATCTCACCTGCAAGTAATCTTCCTTGAGTACTTCATACACGGCTTGACAAGTTGCAGGTATTATGCGAGACAAACTTTGTTTTGATATCCTCGTTCTATACTGAAGTGACATGTAGGTGCACCCAGTTGAAAGATATATGAGCATTGACTCTAGACGAGCCTCTGCAGATATACTCTCCCTCATATTGGTATCCTTTTTTTTATATATATATATGGTTCCATTTTCCCTAGAAGTTTGTCAAAGGTGTTGGGTCCATTCTCATGTAATTGGTGAAGTCTTGCTCATGTCCATCTTCTCCATCTTGCAGTTCACGTAAAATCGTGGCATGACTTCACAATACTTTTCTTCGACCTAACCACTCTTTGCACCATTCCCTTTTCTGCATTTGGTTCTTCTTTTTGCACATAGCAGCAATTATTATAGTACACAACGCTATGCTCTTCGCTTTAACTGTCCGGCGATTATTCCTGCGACACACCATGGTGATCATACCGCACCCGCCACTGCCAACCACCTACTAGCTACCGGCGCCAGACTATGACTGCCGCCAACAACACACAGGCTTTGCCTGGTAAACGGGCAAAGCCCGCCGGGCACTGCTCGATCGTGTGGACGGGGCTTTACAAAGCAGGAAGGAAGATCAACCTCACTACAGTATACTTGCATAATACCCTGCTGTATAGTCATCTTAAATTTCATAGGAAAAGCTCAAAGCATTTTTGTATGCACACAAGGTGTTTTGTGTTGGTCTACACAATTCTATGTATGTATTTTCTTTATTTTGGATATACTGTACTATATTTCCTTGTAACAACCTAAAAAGGGGGGAGGTAACAGATGTTGTGATGTGGGAGTTGCAGACACAACTTATTGATGCACCGCATTTGGAGCTTTTTTCCCCACCCCCCTCCATATTTCTTAACTAGCTTTTTTATTCACAAGTTATTCTATCTAGAGATATATCTGTAACCTATAGCTAATTAATGGATTAATCCTGAAATTCCACTTTATTACCAAATATGGTTAGAACAGTTTGGATCTTACACTTCTCCCTAGGGATTTCCACAGATGTCAGGAGGGAGTGAGGTTGAACCTGCTCCCTGGTGTGAACTAAACCTAAGCAAGCGCTGTATGATGACCATGATTCATTGGTTAAGTCTTAGACCAACTATGGCCTCTCAGAACTCCCCCTTTTTAGGACTAGGGTCTATGTACAGAACAGGAGATGGTTAATCTTCAATTGAGTCCCAGCTGTCATAGGATAGGGTATCTCTAGGTTTCTAAGCCCCAGCCATCATTGAGCATATTCATGAGTCACTCTAACCAAGCTTAGTTATAAATGGTATTTCAGGATTAATGCCTCATTTACAATCCAAAAGAACACTATTGCACTGGGCAGTTACGCATAGATGGTTGATATAAAAATCGACGCCTTCGCCTTAATGCTTCTAGGTATACATCCCGATTGAATAATCCAGCTGCCAGTGGTACACTGAAAAGGTAATAGGCCATTTATAAGATCTCATAGGTTGAAATATCTTAATTTACCTATAAAAGACTCCTAGTAATGAGAAAATTTACATTAATCCTCCATTAATGCTTAAAGTGTGTTATAAAAATCTTTTCGTATTGAAAACGATAGTTTTAATATATTTGGTTAAGATTAGATGGGTTTCTTGGTAACCACAGTAGAATAATACTCCATACTGTACTGTTGTCCTCTCTGTAAATATTGTATGGTGGTACTACGTATCATGCTCCTTCTCCTGTGATAATGACAACTGGCTGTGAACCCCTTGTTCAGATCACTAGATTCACCCCCAAAAGTAGCTTTAACTGTACAATGTAACTTTAAAACAAAATTGGAGGCATATAAGCATAAATAATGAAAGCATAAAAGGGGCAAAAATGATACAAGTTGGTGTACAAACTGTGTCACAATCTCAGGGACACTGATCACCTAAACACTCGGCTTGGCAATGCAGCCCAGCTGGGACGCTGCCTACCCTAGCAACAATGCTCTGTGCTGTGTATCTACTGACCACTCCACACACTCACCACGCAGCTTCCCAGTGGAAACCCGCAGATATCTAAAACTTTGTACAATATGTGTGCATATAACTGAGTATATTATGTCATATAAGACACACAGGTAGGGAATATTTTGGAAAAAACTTTTGAGTTCAGTATTTTCCTCCTGAAGCCAAAGTTTACTTAAAATATACCAGTAAATGTGAGGAATATAAAAAATATTACCAACAAATAGGTAAGTTAAAAAATACTGTACAGTAGTGTTCCCATTTGACTGCTGGACAACGAAATTTGTTAACTGCTTCACTATACATGGAAGATAGCTGAGAAGAGCTGAGATCCCTCACTCCCCCTCCTCTCAACACACGAAGAAAGTTTATTCCCTTTACGTTTTTTACCCCAATAATTATTTATTTATTTTTATTTTTATTTTTATTTTTTTGTAAATACTGTATCTAACCAAAATTAAAAGTTGAAAAAAACCCGTAACAAACAGCATTTTTCAAACTAGGAATCGGTGTGCTTGATCATGGCAAAGAAGAGAGTACGACAACTGCAGCGTGCCATGCCATGTCTGGCAGTGCAGAGAGTTTTGCGTAACCTTCAAAGAGTGCACATATTGATGGCGAGAGGACAGATAGACCCAGTTAAGTCTTACATTGTTACCATCATTTTCATTACAATATTTCATTATTATTATTATTATTATGTGGGGTAATTACTGCTGTGTGGGGGTAGCCCGTAAAATTATCAGCCGCAATGAGTGGGTTAAAGACATATGGTCTGGAGGTTATAAACTTGGACACCCTACAATGTTAAGATGCCATGATTCACTAGTGTATACAAGGCAATGATGTATACTGTATTACACATCATAACATCCCTATCTAAAATTAAAATTTATGCAGTACTTTTGTGCTACTTACTCATCCTTGCCAGGTCTAATTTTGCAATGGAAGGCTCCTAGCACTGGTTTATGGTCTGAAGTCTTGAACAATGAACACGAGTCATAACTATAACATGTAACTGCTCCACGAGTGCTCTGTAAAAAAAATTAAGCATGCTAAATATTGTATATTTCTACTTTCTAAGATACAGTACTGTACTTTTATTCTAATCAATTTCATAAATCAACGATAAGTGATGTACCGGTATTCTTTAAGCTTTTTAATGTAAGTTTCTTCCTATCTATACTGTAACTATAATCCATCTCTAATTAAACAGAATGCATTAATTTCACCAAATTATATAAGAAAGTAGAGTAAATCCTCATTGAATAAAGTAAATATGGATCAAGACTTATACTTAGCTCAAATTCTACAGGAATATTTCTTAGATCATTGAGTTAATTCATCAATGAAATTTCCATATCAATTCACTCTTCCTGGCTGTACCAATCAACATCATAACTGTACAGACTTGTGAATCCCTGGCACATGCCGCATACATATTCCCAGTCCTGACTTAAGTGTTTACATACAATGCTCTATGTGGCCTATAATTACTATCCTTTCTTTCAACATACAGTAATGCTGTGAACTTTTCAGGTGTAATACAGAATCACCAAAACTATTTATAAAGTAACCTATTGGAATTTTTTTTTTTTACCCTCCAAAAATATACATGGTACAGTACAGTATACAACTACTATAAAAAACTCCTTATTTCTTATGAGTCTCCTTTTCACAGATACTTAATGGGCTGATATAGTACCCAAGTGGAATTCTTTTTAAGAAAATTGTAATTGTTACAGTTTAATATTCCTTTATGGTAACAAATCAAATCTTTTTTTCAAGAAATATTGTTCTAACCTTAAACAGGATCCTGTCAGTATAAGATGGAACACGTTGCTTAGAAGAAGTGTCATAGTGGTCAGTGCCAGGGTCATACTTGAATGTTGGGGCAAAGGTAATGGGACCTTCCTCAAATTCGGTAAAGGCTTCACCTAAAATTTTAAAGAATTTATGTGAAACACAGCACTACAAAAGTTTTTCACGTATCTAAAATCTTATATTTTTCAAAGTGTTTTGCATTACTTGTAACCACAGATCTAACTAAATATGGAAAACAGGCAACATATAAGCAAACTAAAGTAAGCATGTAGATGTGTGACATATTGATGATGGTGATGCTCATACCAAAGACTATTCAATTACATTTTTTATTCACAAAACAATGTGCTGAAGCAGAAACCCAAGTTTTTATATATGAAACTGAAATCAAACAATTCAGGTTGTACAGCTACATAGAATTCTGAAATAAAAAAGAAGAATAATGGTTCCAAGCACTAGGAAGGCATTCAGTGTTCAATGAGGGAATGTGGCAACAGCATGTTATAATGTTGGCCATTGTCTGCTTGCACATAACCACTTTGTGACACAAAGTGCAGAATTGCATGGGGGGACCCATTTGTGCTTGATGGCTAAATGTGCAGCGAATGTCAGTGCATATTATAGCACCATGAAAACAAGAAAAAATTAATCAGGTAGTAAAATTCAGTATTCCCCAAACAAAACCCCTTATTTACATTAATTCCTATTGGAAAAATGGATTTGCCTATCATTGTTCTGTTTAACCCCTTCACTGCTGGGCACCACTTTTAATGTTTTATTTGACTAATGACAAATGACTACGATAAACAGGGAATCCCAGTACAGGATCTAGTTATGTCAGGTATCATAACCCAGCACACCCCAGCATTATATAGTACTTAAAAAGTTGGCCCAGACAATTTTGAGCTCGGAGGTTGTGAATGTATTGGTGTGTATTTTTTTTCTCATGTTTCTTAGAAGTGATGAAAAATAGCTATATACAGGTACTTGTATTATTCTTTTATTTTTTGGCTTATGTTGCAGAGCATTCAGTTACAAAGACAAAGATACTGTACTGTATATGGTTTATGCTAATAAAAACAAGAATTGGGGGGGGGAGGGGGGATTGATATAACAAAAAAAAATATTCATCGTGCACTCTCTCGCTGTGGGCCTCAGAGATGTGATCGTGGAACTGGAAAACTTAAAACTTATTTCGTGCACAAGAGGGTTAAGTAAATCATCAATAGAAGGTCAAAGTTTCAAGAGAACAAAACCTTCGTTTAGACATTTCTGTGTTTCCCCAGCTTTAGTGCTTCATGGGGATGTTTATAGGTTCTTAGCCTACTACAGTATCCTCCTAAGCCACTGTTATATACTAGTTTGAAAAAGCTGCAGATCAACACACTTTTTATTACTGTACTATAAAACAAACCTTTCCGTCGAGCTTGGGACAGTTGATCCCACTGGAGAAGATGCTGATAGGCCTCAGGTCCAGCATTCTTTAATCGTTCAAATACATGATCACGATTCACAGCTAGACGAAAATTGAGGTCACCCAGCCAGAATACACAATCATAACGATGAGTGACATCTGTAAATATAATTACAGGAAATTTTACTGCAGAGTGTTCAATACTTTGCAGAACCCTGAGGGAGCCCCTGGCTGCAGCACCCTCAAGGTAAACTCTGCACTCACCACTGTGAACATCTTGTCCATAAAGTTAAAAAAATATTTTAATTGTGAAGTTATTTTTGGTTATAAATTATGTTTTTTTGCCAAATACAGTATATGTTTATAAATTATTGTTTTATAATTCTATTTACATTCGCAATATGTACATTAATCTGCCTATTAGCCGAAATAATTGGTGCAGAGCAGTTCCAGTTTTAAGAGAATTCCGGGTATCGCGACAAATTTTATTATCCCAGGAAAAATTAGCACATCTACGGAATTTTTCAAGGTTTTGGTGAATGTTTCTGAGTCAGACTGTAGTCAGACAGATATAGAGCTGTATTTAAGAAAAGACTTTCCTTTATTAATACATTAAAATCAAAATGCACTTGGCATTGATTCAATTATATATTGAAAATACGTCAAAATAGTTTTCCTAAAAAAAAAACACTCAAAAGAAAGAAGCATCAGCGTTCTTTACATTTACCCGCTTCATCTTCATGGACCCTAAACACGAAAGTGTTGTAACACATTACCATAACTCATTCAGTAACCAGATTATTTCTTACCTGGAAACTATTTGTTGCGAAGAATCTCAAAGCAATCATCAGCTGATGAATGGGAGGTAGAGGTGAACCATTACCAACAGGTCTGTCAAGTATAGATGCTCCATATCATGGAAAATATCAAGGAAATCTCCCTTGCTGAACCTATATCGTTGTTTGAATTGCGTGTCATCATAAAAATTGAGAGAATTCTGCCTGTCTACCATCAGTCTTCTCTCTACAAAATTTCCAATTTGACGATATCACCGAAAAGCGCGCTGTTAAAATTCATGTTGATTTGCTATCTTCAATGACGGATCGACCGTTAAACCTGCTCCAGTTTGGATTAAAGCAAAGATCGGCAAATCAGATCTCAAACCCAGTTTGAATCTCTGTGTTGGCTCAAGCCAGCCAGCATTCTGAATGCCAACAATCTTCAATCTTTGCTCAATCCTTCATGTGGTTTCAAACCAGCGTTCTGAATTCGGGCCTAATAGTCTTGGATAATGAATACTGTATTCTGTATATCAAAAAATATTCTTAAATGTAAAATTGCCCCGATATTTACAAATTCATTACAGTATTTGCAATGACTTTTAGGAATACATCCCTTGCGATAACCAGGGTACTGTCTTCCTTTACAGTATATGACCTTTTCTATATTAATACAAAAAAAATATGTGGTTAGTTACTGTACATATAACACTATACAGTACGAAGCAATCATCTCAGTGAAAACAGATGTCAACAACCAAACTTAGTAAGATTTTCAACCCAGAGAGTTCTCTCCCTCATATTTTTTTATAGTTGATGTAATGGTGTTTTACTAACCTTATTATGCAGTACATTCATAACCTTTTAACAAGTGATTTTCTTGAAACAGCTCAGATAAGCATTGTTATGCCCATAGATTCGTTTTTTCGCATTTTCCAGATTGGCATGTGCCCCAATTAGTTCAGTGTATTGAGGTACTACTGTAACTATGGATTTTCGTAAACTGAACCTTCATAAATTAGGGACTGCCTGTAACTGCCCATAACTGCTTATGTACTAACTTACACTGAAAGAGAGTTTGTCCCTGCAACTTACTAGCTAATTGGGCGGTCTATCCAGTGTTAGTACAGTAGAAAATCGGGGACCAGGAAATCTGTGGTGTTTGGTAGGGTCACACTGGATAACACCTTTCTCACGTGTGTCCTGGCCGAGGCTTGAACCCTTGACATATTGGTGAGAGTTAAGCGTGTTACTGCTGTACCACCAACACCCTATATATCACTTATTGAATGACCTAATGACTATAAAATAAAAACTAAATAGAATTTATTAAAAAAAAGAGCCGTTTTTTCTAAAAACCAGTTTTTGTGATATAGCTCGAATGCGACGATCAGCAATGCTACCCAGGTATGTTAATTCCTAGCCAATTCGCCAGGCCAACATACAGGCAATTAAAACATCTAATAATTACTTAATAAGTAATATTAGGAGGACATGTCGCTACCTGGCATTTAATTGCTATTTTGAAAGTCCCTCCTTCAACCAGCCTCCATGCGCACTGCGAAGCTCATCTCTTGCCTCAGAGAGAGCAGTAATTAAAAGTCAACTCTCGAGGGGTGGAGATGGGTGGGTTATGGATGTCGCATTCGAGCTATATCACAAAAACTGGTTTATAGAAAAAAACGGCTTTTTCTTCAATGCTCTGAATGCGACGATCAGCAAGAATGATTTTTTAATTAGTAACACCAGGAACAAAGTAAAAGAGAAATTTTAATTTTACACAAAGTAATGGTATCATCCTCTCATTACTAACCTTTATGTTTATGTCTGTGAGGTAAAATGCGAGGTAAGTCAAGAGATCGAGTAATATTGCGGAAGTTTTGGATTCGATAGGCCTGCTTCTCCTCATGAGCTGTTAGATGCGAGTTTATGAAGAGCATCCTAGTACCTAAAATGGAAACTTCAAATAAACATAACGATGAATTTAAACTTACCGCTAACCATATTTCAAATTCAAAACTAATTGTAGTACCTTATGGAACAAACGTGAATAATTCTATCTACATCTCATCTGACTTCTTCCACACAGCATAATAACTCAAGGGGAACCTCCGCACAGACTACTGGTGATCTCTGGACACTACTGATAACATCACCATCAGAACACTCTTACATATACTGCCCCATTGTTTAAAGCGAGGGTTGTGTTCCCAGAAAACACCATGTAGAGCGAACCCATTATAGGGTATAATATGCAGAGGTGGACCCTAAAAATTCCCCCACACCAAAAACACTCCAAAACCAAAGTTCAAAGACATCATAAAGCTCTAAAGTAACTCACTAATACACCTACATCTCCTACAACACGATGTTGTGGAGTCACTGGCATGTCCATGAAATCAGTTTGTGAAAGTTTAATACTGCAGCCATTTGCAGAGGTGAGCCTCCCTCAAGCCTCACCATAGCAATCTGGCCTGGCTGGGGATTCTGCCCCTCCCACTGGTGCATATTTTTTTTTTTATTAATTTTATGTTTTTTACCTTATGATTATTTATTATTATACAGTATATATATATATTTTTTTTTTTTGCACATTCTGTATGTAGGATTGTGTGTACATGTAATTGAATAAAAAAAAAATTATAAAGAAAGTTAAGTTTATCGACCAGAAATTACAAGTTGAAAAATAATACTGTATAGCTCCTGCTAAATCTCGCTGGTGGACAATGAAATGTTTTTTCATTTTACAGTAAAAGTCCAAAAATCCGGATGCCAGAAATCCGGACCACCTGAGAATCCGGAATTTTTGAAAACTGGCTTTTGTGTGATGTGTGCATGCATGAGCGCCAAAGCTACACAGCGACAAGCGACCACGCAGTCGCCACTTTAAAACGAGCAATGAAACTGTGACAATGTATGTAATTTTGAATCCTACTGTTTCCATTCACAGAGTACTGTACAAGCCCATAATAATGGCTCCTAAAGTAGATAAACTTCGTTGTGTGAAGAGAAAGAAGAACACGTTGAAATTGAGTGACAAACTTGTTATAATTAGGAAACTAGAACGTGGTGTGAGCAATACTGTTCTAATGGAAACATACGACATTGGAAAGTCTACAATTTATGATATAAAAAAGGCAAAGAATAAAATTCTAGAATTCACAACTTTTTCTTTAAAACTGCTCGTTTTGATAAATGAAGCATGCTATATTTGCTCATGAATAAAGTATCAAAATGTACCTGTTCATCTCTTCTTTATTCCTCCTTAAATTTGAATTTTAAAAGTACTGCCTGAGAATCCAGAAAATCCGGACCGACCCAATCCCCAAGCAGTCCGGATTTTTGAACTTCTACTGTATGTTTTTGACCTAATGATAAATATTATTATTTATTTATTTATTTTTGCACATTCTGTATGTAGGATTTTGAGTTCAAGTAACTGAATAAAACAAAATACTGCATAAGAAAGTTATATATATCTACCAGAAATTACGGCTCTCATCTTCTCAGCATTCCTCACGGACAAAACACTCAGACTGGCCTCTCTAGTACAGTAGTTGTTGAAAATTGCCTTAACTAAATTTCCAAGGTAAACATGGTCCTCAATTGATCAACCCGTCTTGCCTTAATTTCCATTTGAATATCCACAAACCAAAAGGAAAAGGAGGGAGAATATCTTGTGAGAATATTACCATTCTACTGGAATTTTCCAAATAAGTTTCCTAACATCTAATGGTGTTAACTGGTGCCCAGAAAACACCTAAGAACATGTGTTTTTTTCCTACACTGTAGGAGATGCCATACCATCAGCTTGGTCAGCTGATGAGAATTGGAAGCAGTTTTGAATTTGATAATACTGTATAGTACTGTACCTTGGAAAATTGTTTTTTCTTACAATCTGTTTCTAGATTTCTGATACTCAAGAGTTAAGTACAGTACAAAAGCACCCTTTTTTCAATTACCATTACATATTTCAACAAAGCAGAAAGAAATATGTTAAACTTACTCAAAGATATTTTACATCTTATACAGTAAGGTCATGCTAAACTAGCCACTAATTTCAACAAATAGCCCTTCATTCATTCACACTGACACCTTCCTTTCATTACTTTACTGCATAGCTAAAAAAAAATTCATCCATGTCATGGTTCTTCCCTAAACTAACTATAATTTGATTAATCATGAACAAATTTGACCACACAGCTTGTCCACTATTTCATATTAAAACACAACTTACCAAAGAACTGGAAGCCTATTCCCATTCCTCCTTTTGTCTTATAAGCAATACCAGGACGAAGACTGTAGGTTGCTTCTTCTGGCACTGTAACAAACAAGTACTGTATCTCATATCCAATTGCAAAAAAATTGCACTGCACAAATTAACTAAAAGAAGAGGTAATTTGTAAGAAATCAAAGTTATAATATTAGATTTTGAAAGGGGATCCAGCAACTAAGGCTATATTACCTCAAGATCCAACCAATTTAAGATAAATAAATAAAAATAAATACTTTTAATAAAACATGTAAAACATGGCTAGTACATATTGTCTTTAGTAAAAATTAAATTATAATTAAATTTTTTTTAATAAAATTAACAATTCAAGGGAAAAACTAATTTCTAAAATACCTGTACTTAGAAAATGCAGCACTGTACAGATATAAGATATCCTTCAACTAAATGCAAATCAAAATGAAAATAGAAAGTAAATTATTATCATATTTAATAAAATACAGTAGTGTACTCAAAAAATACAGGAGAGTAATAAAATACCAAAAAAACAAAATACAAGTTATTCAATAATTAAAAGAAATCTATAAACCAAACCTGATAACAAAAACCTCATCAAAGAAATATTGATATTTTGGCTATGGGCACTAGCATCTTAGGACCTAAAAGGTCCATTTCTCCAGGAAACACCTCCTGGTGGAGTGGGGTGAAATTCTTTCAAAATATGTTATTTTGCAAGTGTCACATAAGTTGCCATGAATGATCTACTCATAAGCAACAGAGGTCCTCTTATCCTTGGCCATTGTCAGAGCTGAGGTTTGATTTCTTGCAGATTGTTTTCACTGCAGGAATCCCACCTCTACTGCCACTGGTGTTTTTATAATACAGGTGTTGACCATTTTACAGTGGGGTTAGGGGACTTCGAAAAGTCACAAACATGTGGACTGAGATACATTGTTTTGTGGAAAATTTAATAATAATAATAATAATAAAAAAAAACTTACGTACTAAGGCCAGCAACTCTAGCATGCTTGTAAAGGTCTCAAAAGGGTTAGATAAGTGTAAACAAATCTGCAGAGTAAACTCATTTAGTTAAGTAAGGTAACACCTACCATATTTTCCTCTTGTAGCCATAGTTTTCTTAAAATAATATATACAGTACCAGTAAATGTGAGGAATAAATAAAATAATACCAATAAATAAGGTAAAACAAAAATTACTGTATTGCCAAACCAGTAAATAAAAGCCAAATAAAAGTTTAACACAGTTGTCATTTGCAGATACTGTAATCGCTGGCTCACCATAGCAACGCAGACACCACCTCCGCTGATTCCCTAGCAACGCCCCCCCCCATGCCTACACCCACTCCCCCTATGAGCTATACAGTTAACTTGTGTGTAAAGAAATGTATATTCCCTTTACATATTCCCTTTAGGACAATTATTTCTTTTACTTTTTCACAATATGTACAGTATGTAGGATGGTGTGTGCATGTAACTGACTAAAAATACATGAAGAAAGTTATGTATATCTACCCGAAAATACGAGATGACAAGCAACCATAACACCAGTAGCCTGGTGGTTATAGTCACGAGTCTAACCTGGCTACAATGCTGCCAGCCATGTTAACAGATGCAAATGTAAAAAGAAAATTGTATGTAAATTTTCATTTGTATCAGGTATTTGTAGATTTAAAAATAAATGTTGCAGGTAGGGCATTAATAGATTGTAATGCTTGTAAGAGTTCAGAAATGATTAATGCTTACTGTATATCTCGGCCTATAAGACGGAATTTGAACCATCAAAAAATCAGCCCAAATTTAGGGGGTCGTCTTAAGCACCAGATATATAATTCTTACCTCTTAAATATTGCGGTTTAGCGTGTCAAGAGTGGTGATGGAAATATGGTAAACCACTCACAAGGTCCTACCACTAATTATTTTATACTGAAACTTACGTTTGGGAAGCTGGATTAAAATGAATACCGGTATATTAAAATAATAAAACTGTATTATAAACCTGTCTAACATACCGTAAAAGAACAATATACCCCGGTAATAAACACAGCTGCTATCATCACCCCCCTCCCCCCATTTGCCAGTGACAAGAAAGGGAAAGTGACCTTGACTGTGACCGCCTGTGGCTATTTTTAGCCGTCCTTGTGTTCGGAGGTGGTCAGTAATGCATATCTGTATATTTACTGATCATAATACTTATCTCCAATAAATAATTCATTTAAAATTTATTTTCTTACAAAGAATATTCAGTAAATGACTGCGTTAATTCTTGAAACTACCGACAGTGGTAAATTTAGAATATACAGTGGTCCCTCGGTTAACGAGCACAATCCGTTCTAGAAGGTTGCTCGTTAACCGAAACCATTGTTTCAATGGGTTTTTGGGTAATTGGTTCCAGCTCACCGAAAATTACCTAAATTCAACAAAAAAGGTAGAAAAGTACACTTACTTTGAGGTGTGTATGTAGAAGGCTCGTGGATGATGATGATGGGAATTAGAATGGGGATGGAGGAGAAGGGAGAAGAGAAGGCACTGGGGTGGAAGAGAAGTCACCCCAAGGCGCAATTTCACCCATAAAATTTTAGTTCTCTTGGTGTAATTCAAGATTATTTTCTTTAAATCAACACTGCACTGCATTATATATTGTCAATATGTAAAATAAATTTAAAAAAGACCAATAATTTGCTTGTAAACACAGAAAAAAAGCGTTTAGTTGAAGAGAGTCTCAAGCAAGATGTTACCTCCACTGAAAAGACACAAAGACTGACGCCTGTATGCTGTGTTGGCAGGCTGGATGGCGTGCTACAAACTAGTGACCCTACCTTCAATTATGTTCAATAATTGTTTAAATAACTAAAAAAATTAATATTAAACTTAAAATTATTGAATAGTATAAACTTCTTGATATTTACTTAAAGGGTAAGGAATTTGAGCCCTAGAACCGATTACTGTACTGTATTGGCGGACTAATACTACAGCTGGTGAACCGCCAAATGCAAGCTAAAACACGTGGAGGTCGGCTCGTAAGAAACTCGTTAATCGAGGGATTGCTCGTTAACCGAAGTTAAGAATCTTATGGAAGGTAACTCGTTAACCGAAATCTCGTTAACCGAGGCGCTCGTTAACCGAGGGACCACTGTAAATGATGAACAGAAGTCACGTCATGGATTTGGAGTTTGGTCCTTAATGATCACCACAAATGTCTGGTCAACTTCACCTACCAGGTATAATGGTAGCCTCCCTTTTTCGCAAAACAAGTACAATATATAATTAAAGAAAATACTTGCAGTGTGTTTAATATATTACAGTATATTATAAATAAATAAATAAACAAATAAATTGGCAAATCTATTTCAAGTGAAGGGAAATATTTTACTCACACCAACATTAGTTCCAGTTAAATAACTGACGCTAAAGTGAGTCACTAGTGTACACCAGCCGGTAAAATTTGATGCCAATACTTTAAGTGAATTGGCCTTATTTTAAATAACCAACCATAAATAAATGCAAAAAGGAAAAAAGATCAAAGGTGAGAAACATTATATTGTATGTATGTTGTGTTGTCAAAGGAAGAGAAACAATTGAAACTCTGCAATTGTGTGTAAATGAGGCAGAAAGATAGATCAGCAACCTAAGACTTGGTCACAATTTTCGTGATGCCATATGGAAGTAGGATCTACCATTAGACAATACTGTACATTATGCTTCCAATATCTTCCCAGGCAGTAGTATCTCCCTGTTTGGTAGCTGCCTAAAATTTTTAGTAATATTACTTTGATACAACATGATAAATTAGACAAACAATGAAAATAAACAAACAAAAGTTATTTACCAAGACCTTCTCTCTGAGAATCCAAAACCAAAGGATGTCAAACTAATATGATAAAAGGAAGGATAGACTATTTGTATGAAAATGTAGTCTTAGTCAAACATATCAAAGGTCCTGGGAACACTGGTTGTTAAATATTGATGATACATGAGTTCCTTAACCCAAATGAGAGGTCTAAATTTTCAGATATTCCATGTACTGTTTAGCAAAAAAATTACAGGTAACTAAAGTTTGCAGATCTTTGAGACAGTATGTAAATAACCAAGAGTCTAATGCATCATCAGTGTGGATATCAGTTGTATTACAGAAGATGGTGCTTTGATGTGAATTCTAAAATACTATGTATTCATTAGCCTTCAGTGATTTCAAATCAAATTCAAATAAAAACAATATGCTTGTCAATAATTTCTCTATTATTATACCTGTATCTTTTTTCCTGTTTGCAATAAGAAACCAGAACCACATTTTCCCTCAAATTATCACAACTCAATTTCCAACCTTTACCAGACACTGCCAGAGGCTATTTGCCAACAATACAGCAATTATTTATACTGTACATGCATATTTCTCTTGGATGACTTTACTCTCATTTCAAATGTTATACAACTGATAATTCTTTGTTGTTTAGTTTGCAAATGGGAAAACAACATGAATGATATTAAGTGATATTAAAATTCTTACCAGAACAGAACCAAAGCAGGTCTCTACGTAGAAATATGGTCAGATGAAGAACACCAAATATAGCTGAGGTAAAGAGCACATGAGAAGGGCCAATGGTTGCCTGTAGACGGACCTGAAATTTTTCAAAATACAAATGATATAAACCGCTGCACTACCAGAATGGGTTAACCATGCATGACTTTTTCCAGCTGTACTGGAAGAGAAATATCTGAAAGCAACAAATGATTTTAACTGGATATCATGACTTCTCTCCCACTAAAACTGCCCGAGATAAAAAATGAGTACATTCACCACTTTCCTCATCAAAGAAATGTTGATCCTTTGTCATTCAAACCTGGGCAACATGCACATGTATGTTTTTGTGTATAGGTGATGGAATGGTGTTTATAATACATGTACTGTAAGATAAAATATTTACATCTCTCTCAACCTCCCTGCAATTCGTGTTTGTTCCTCTTCAAGCAATTTTAATGTTTTTATCTCTCTTGCATTTTTATTGCAATTTCACTCAATAAATTAAAGTTTGCCCTAAGAGTGATTACCATCATTTCAATCTACCGGGTTTGTCTCCCGAGAAGAATGTTTTCTTACACCTCTAGCATTCTCAGTCTGCATCATCCAATTTTCCAATGTTTACAGCCCCCCCCCCCCCAAGTAATGTTAATGTTTGCAGGTCTCTCTCTCTCTCTTTCTCCTGCATTTCCTATATAGTACAGTATTTGCCCCCCCCCCATTATAAATTATGTTTTCACCTCTTCTCCAGTATATTCAGTGTCCTCCACCCCTATATTTAGAAAATCTCCCTACAATTTCAATGTTGCATATCGTCTGCTCTGCATTTGTAATGACTCCTTAACAATTTAAATATTTTCAAATCCTTCCCCCACTACCCTAGAATTTTCATTGACAGTCTAGCCATGTGCAATTTCCAATATTTGCATCACAGCAACCAACTTGCATTTTCAGTGTCCTTCCGGGAATGGGGGCTATTTTTACGGGTTCGAGAGATGATGTACTGGCCAATTTCTGGAACTTCTGAGAACATTTTTCCGTTACCCGGAAAATTCCGGGAATGAGGGATTTTTTTTCTGGCTTTGAGAGTCGTCGTCTCGTTACCCAGAAATCTCTCATTCCCGGAAGTGCTCTGCACCAATTGTTCCGGCTAACGGAGATATCACTATAACATTATAGTTCAATGATGAAATTATGCTTTAAGAAGTAAGAGAAAAAGAAACAAGAAATCAACAAACTACTGTACAGTACAGTATATTCATTAACATTTAATATGAGCAATAATTTGAGTTGAAGTTCAGCAATAATTTATTTTCATAATTCTTGTTACCCACTATGGCACACCTGTGACTGATGTTACGAGTTGGGGATTTAGAATATAGTTAAAAGTCTACCCAGATCCCAACAGGCAACAACAATAAAAAAACTTAAACAAACAAAGACAATCGGACTATAAAAGGGTAGACAAAGGATGCGAGTTTTTGTTATGTATAATAAAGTACCATAAATTCCTTAACAAAATATTCAGCTTTCTATAATTTACCCTTAACCATACTTAACCTAAACATACGCAACATTGGCTTAACAGTATATACATATTTATACAACATACAACAAACAGAAGCAAGTGGAGGTGGGAGGCAATATAAGATTACAAAATACTCAAGTGCAGTGCTGAGATGGCTGACGAGTAAGGCTGAGTATTGAAGAAGATGGTAGGTAGTCACTGTGCCGTAGGTTTCCAGGATAGGTGATCCTAGTGTGGTCACTTCCCAGAGTGAACTGAACTTTCCTCGATCTGGAGCTGATGAGAAAGACTTGGAGGAGGTGACGCAACAACCAGGATATGGAGAAGGGAAACCCCGGAGTGGTAACTAAGACTAGTCATACTCGAGTTTCGTCCCTAGATGGCATTGCTCGTGGTGCTGGGTAGGTAGATCATGACAATAGATGGCGGGGTTCGTAACACACCCCCCCTCCAAAGACCTCCATAGCGCGGGCGCGAAGGAGGTGATCACCTGGTGCGTCTGGAGAGTAGCTGCTGCATTTCCACTGGAGCTCGGGATAAGGAGTCCGCAATCAGGTTGTCCACCCCCTTTATGTGCCGGACTTGTAGATTATAGGGCTGGGTGAGGAGAGCCCAGCGGAGGATTCGCTGGTTGGAGGTCTTGTTGGTTTGGATGAACGTAAGCGGGTTATGGTCGGTGAAGACTAGGGTTGTTTGTGGGCGAGATTGGAGGTAACATTCAAACTTCTTTATTGCCAACACCAGAGCCAGGGCCTCCTTCTCTATGGTCGAGTAGTTGGTCTGATGTTTTTTCAACTTGGCGGAGTAGTATGCCACAGGGTGAAGGCCATCAGTGGTTGGGTCGGGTTGTAGGAGCACAGCCCCCACTCCGACACCGCTAGCGTCGATTTGCAGATGGAAGGGCAAGGTGTAGTCAGGGAGGTGGACTACAGGCTTGGAGGCAAGGAAGGCTTTGAGGCGGTGGAAAGACTGGTCGCACCTCTGGTTCCAGATGTAAGGGACCGCAGAACTGGTAAGGTCTGTGAGGGGTCCGGCCACCCTGGAGAAAATACTGCAGAACCGACGGTAGTAGCCGCACATCCCCAGGAAGCGCATGAGTTCCTTCCTCGTCCTTGGAGTGGGGAAGGACAAGATGGCTTTAACGTTTGCGTCCTTGGGTCACTCATTCTTCCCGGCTATTTTCTCAAAAGTCCTAAATGACCCGTCCATATCGGATTCATCAAACCCGGGAACAAGGGAAGAAGCATTAGCAGGGTTAAAAGCAGCTAGTTTCTCTTTTAATGCCACTTCTTTTGATTTAAACTCCGATGTTAAGGTGACTTCTGTCTCTCTCACCTGTAGTTCTTTCAGTCTAACCTCCTGCTCCAACTTGGCCTGTTCCAACCTTCCCTCATGTTCCAACTTGTACTCCAACTTGGCCTGTTCCAACTTTTCCTCCTGCTCCAACTTGGCCTGTTCCAACTCGAGTTCTTCATTTTGATTTGGAACTCGAACCTAGCTCGTTCTAGTTCTAAGGCGTCTACTCTTTGTGCTTTTTCTTGAGGGCTAGCCAGACCTGAGGCAACTTCTGAGTGAGGAGGGGTGGTGGATAATGGTTGAAGTTTCTTGGACATGGGCGTTAATCGGTCAACAGCGGATTCTTTTAAAACTTCTTGTTGAACCAACATTTCAAATACATGATTTTTTAACATTTCCTTAGTCAGTTGCTGTGAATATGGGATATTGTAATAGTTGGCTATTTCTTTCCATTCTTTCTTCAGGATATTAACACGCAATTTAGCTACGGAAGGATTTTCAATAAAATCCTGGAGATCAAAACCTGAGGTGGCCATTGTTGAGAAAAACCAGATAAATTAACTAATGGTCAAAAAGATAAGATAAGTGGATTACCCTAGAAAATATCACGGCAGTGGATAACCAGAAAGTCCCGGAAACTACCCAAGTTATACCTAGGGAAATTACACTTATGAATATTGTTCTTCTGATAAGATTCTTAGATAAGGATAAGAGACATGGAAGAGGAAGGGCGTATTACGGCATTAATATAAAGATCCGGATAAACAACCCTTGAGTTACTTGATTATTGACCCTGAATGAGATAATGAGAAGAACAATAATTGAGGCTTTATAATTATGGGGTCCTGGTAGAGCGGGGCATCCCAAGATATCACTTCACCCTAAACTAGTGACTATGGAACAGCCTACTCTGGAGCGAGGGTACGGCATTAAACAGATCCGGATTCTTCCCTACACTCGATAAGACTTACTACATGACTGCCACGTGTAATAACAGGTAAGCCTTATGACACTTGGAACCTAATATCCTATGTCTGTCACTCTTACTGTATGAAGGAACTTTAAACCACCGTAAAGCAATTGTGAACAGAAGTGACTGGGAGGAATAATTAACAAGGAGTAACAAGGGGGGAAGAAATATGGCACTTAAGGTCGGATCCTGTCACGGTCGCCATTTGTTACGAGTTGGGGATTTAGAATATAGTTAAAAGTCTACCCAGATCCCAACAGGCAACAACAATAAAAAAACTTAAACAAACAAAGACAATCGGACTATAAAAGGGTAGACAAAGGATGCGAGTATTTGTTGTGTATAATAAAGTACCATAAATTCCTTAACAAAATATTCAGCTTTCTACAATTTACCCTTAACCATACTTAACCTAAACATATGCAACATTGGCTTAACAGTATATACATATTTATACAACATACAACAAACAGAAGCAAGTGGAGGTGGGAGGCAATATAAGATCGCAAAATACTCAAGTGCAGTGCTCAGATGGCTGACGAGTAAGGCTGAGTATTGAAGAAGATGGTAGGTAGTCACTGTGCCGTAGGTTTCCAGGATAGGTGATCCTAGTGTGGTCACTTCCCAGAGTGAACTGAACTTTCCTCGATCTGGAGCTGATGAGGAAGACTTGGAGGAGGTGACGCAACAACCAGGATATGGAGAAGGGAAACCCCGGAGTGGTAACTAAGACTAGCCATACTCGAGTTTCGTCCCTAGATGGCGTTGCTCGTGGTGCTGGGTAGGTAGATCATGACAATAGATGGCGGGGTTCGTAACACTGAATATTAGTCCAATACAGCTGAACTGGCATTCATATACTGCAGAAGCAGGCTGGAGAACTGGCAAAGTTTGAAGCCTTCACGACAGTGTACATGCATGCATGCAGTCAAACATGTACACATCAGCAGAAATGTATCCAGATGTTCAGGCCACAGAAACATGGGATTAGCTAAGATCATTATCAAGTCAAGTGGTAATACCAAAAAATCTGGGGTGAAAACATCTTTGATTCCCTTGATCTCACCTCACCATGAGCCAGTAAACAATGGCAGTGTGCGATGATGTGAAACAAGAAATATAGAGGAAGGAACTATTACTCCCACATGTAGGTGTAGACACCTTGGCGTGTGTCACACTAATTGTAGATGGCACTGATTCCAGAGTCTTTACAGTAGGTGTGTGTCGGCTGTTTGTTTACATTTGGGAAGAAGACTGTGGCATGTTCAACCTGTCAAATGTGTAAAAAAATAGTTTCTAAGACAAGTACCAATGACTGTGTCATGTGTAGGAAAGACGAGAAGAATTATGACCATCTGAAATTCCATCGTCTTTCCAAAAATAAAAAATTGGTAATTCAACCCTCTCCTGCATGTAATAAGTTTTTAAGTTTCTGTGACCATGACAAAAGTCATATTCAGGAACACAACCCCAATTGAGGAATTAAAGTGAGAGTGTATATCTATTAATCCTCTATCACTATCATAATCAGTGAGTCCATTGTTCTCATCATTGATATCTTTTAGATCCAGATATACAAGTACCGTAGTATTTAAATTCATCATAATATTTATTGCATCATAGGAGAATTAACCTCACAGTAAAATGTAATATGGGATAACATAATTCCCCACAGATTGTTCCTTTCTATATCCTACAATTTAATCGGAGGCTTCACATCTTACCGATGAACTGACCTACCGTCTGCACAATGTTACACAGCTACATGATTATTTTGTATCTCTCCCATTCATATCTTCTTTCTGTCCTTCCATTTCACTTCTGACTTCCTTTTCCTACAACCTATCACCTCAGATGTTTTTCCCACATTCATAATCTAATCATTCTCTATTACAGTACAGTATCTTAAAATATCTGCCTGTACTATATTAGGAAAACATTTAATAATCCTGTATTTTGTATACTACTTACCCCATTTGATACAGTATTGTTAGTTATTCCCTTATATGTACAAAACATCTTCCACACAAGAATTTATTTACAATGTACCGTATATCTCGGCTTATAAGACGGAATTTGAACATTAAAAAAATCTGCCCAAAGTTAGGGGGTCGTCTTAAGCACCAAGTATAAAATTTTTACTTCTTAAATATTGCGTGTCAAGAGTGGTGATGGAAACATGGTAAACCACTCACAAAGTCCTACCAGGGAAAGTGACCTTGACTGTGATCGCCTGTGGCTATTTTTAGCCGTCCTTGTGTTCGGAGGTGGTCAGTAATGCATATCTGTATATTTACTGATCATAATACTTATCTCCTATAAATAATTAATTTAAAATTTATTTTTTTACAAAGAATATTCAGTAAATGACTGCGTTAATTCTTGAAACTACCGACAGTGGTAAATTTAGGATGAGAATGATTAACAGAAGTCACGTCATGGATTCGGAGTTTGGTCCTTAATGATCACCTACCAGTTATAATGGTCGCCTCCCTTTTTCGCGAAACAAGTATATAAATTAAAGAAAATACTTGCAGTGTGTTTAATGTATTACAGTATATTATAAATAAATAAATAAACAAATAAATCGGCAAATCTATTTCAAGTAAATGGAAATATTTTACTCACACCAACATTAGTTCCAATTAAATAACTGCCGCTTAAGTGAGTCACTAGTGTACACCAGCCGGTAAAATTTGATGCCAATACTTGAAGTGAATTGGCATTATTTTAAATAACCAACCATAAATAAATGGAAAAAAGATCAAAGGTGAGAAACATTATATTGTATGTATGTTGTGTTGTCAAAGGAAGAGAAACAATTGAAACTCTGCAATTGTGTGTAAATGAGGCAGAAAGATAAATCAGCAACCTAAGACTTGGTCACAATTTTCGTGATGCCATATGGAAGTAGGGTCTACCATTAGACAATACTGTACATTATGCTTCCAATATCTTCCCAGGCAGTAGAATCTCCCTGTTTGGTAGCTGCCTAAAACTTTAAGTCATATTACTTTGATACAACATGATAAATTAGACAAACAATGAAAATAAACAAACAAAAGTTATTTACCAAGACCTCTCTGAGAACAGAGGGATGGAGGGGGAAGGAAGGAGGTTGAGATAAGACGGCTATTTATAGCCTGTCTTTGTGTAGGAAGTCGACCACACTAGAAATAATTAATTTTATTATGGTAGTGTTGTGAGGATGTGTGAGTGGTGTGGGAGGTTGTGGTAGTGTTGTGAGGATGTGTAATTGGTGTGGGGGGTTGTGGTAGTGTTGTGAGGATGTGTGAGTGGTGTGGGGGTTGTGGTAGTGTTGTGAGGATGTGTAATTGGTGTGGGGGGTTGTGGTAGTGTTGTGAGGATGTGTAAGTGTGTGTGTGGTGGGGTTGTGGTAGTGTTGTGAGGATGTGTGGTGGTGTGGGGGTTGTGGTAGTGTTGTGAGGATGTGTAATTGGTGTGGGGGGTTGTGGTAGTGTTGTGAGGATGTGTAATTGGTGTGGGGGGTTGTGGTAGTGTTGTGAGGATGTGTAATTGGTGTGGGGGGTTGTGGTAGTGTTGTGAGGATGCTGTATGAGTAGTGTGGGGGCTTTGTGGTACAGTTGTGAGGATGTGTGAGTGGTGTGGGGAGGTTGTGGTAGTGTTGTGAGGATGCTGTAAGAGTAGTGTGGGGGTTTTGTGGTACAGTTGTGAGGATGTGTGAGTGGTGTGGGGGGGTTGTGGGAGTGAGTCATAACCACACACCACCCTCAACACACTACCTCTTTCCTGCATCACCATCCAACACTACCAACGTGCAACACACCTGGTCACCTCTACATTATTAACACCTATACTGGAGTTGATTGGGATCAGGTGCTGTGTACATCGATGTATTTCTGCCCCTGACACTGAATACGTCATCAACCTCTAGGGTCCAGGATAATATTAAGCCCTGGCACGGTGACTCCTCTCTCTTAAAGTGCATTAAGGTGATTGAATTTGGCGTCATCTAATCCCTAACTTCATAATGGAGTTGTCAAGGCTTCACTGTAATTACAATCTCCAGTTTTTTAGTTTCGTTTATTCAACTGGTATTATATCTACAAGAGTTATTTAACCAGACGTGGACATTTCTTTTTGTAAAGTCATATGTAGTATGAAATACAATATTTCAGTATATGAGTGTCATGTTGAGATGGGAGTGGTGACATTAGTGGGGCAGCTAAATGCAATTTTTCAAGAGAATCATGAAAATGGTGGTACAAGCACCAAATTTGGCATGGTAATTCTCTAATGGTTACTAGTCAAGTCTGCCTGATTGACCATTTAAAAATCCAAGATGGCGACCATTTTTCAAGATGACCGCCATATTGACCTTCAAAAGTTGATTTTTCTTATAGAAATTGATGTAGTTGGTCAATCTGGGTGATCTTGGTGTCGATATGTATGTTTTCAAGCATGCTCAGTTGATTTTTTATAGTTTTAAGTCCATTGTAACATTTTTATCCACATAAAATAACACTTTTAGTAAAAAATATAACAAAAAAGAACTTACTAAAAAAAAAGTACGGTAAACAGTGGGAACACAGTCCCACCACCGAGACGAGGTAACACTCCCGCCACCGATCGTCTCGTGTGAAGCAAGCATATAAATTAAAGAAAATACTTGCAGTGTGTTTAATATGTTACAGTATATTATAAATAAATAAATAAACAAATAAATCGGTAAATCCATTTCAAGTAAATGGAAAAATTTTACTCGACACCGACATTAGTTCCAGTTACCGGTAAATAGCAGACGCTTCAGTGACGTCACTAGTGTTTACACTACACCAGCGGGTAACATTTGATGACATTACTTGAAGTGAATTGGCCTTATTTTAAAAAACCAAGGATGGTTGGTAGAGGACTACTGAGTCAGTGGGTAAGTGTCACATTTGGGGTACTGGTCTTATACAGCGAATAGAGCTCAAAAGCTACTTTTTAAATGGAAATTTGGGGGGCCGTCTTATGCACCCCGACGCCTTATAGGCCGAGATATACGGTACTTGGAAGAGAATGACTGCAATACATCCTCCAGATCTTAGTCTTTACAACCTCTAGTCATAAATATTATAGATAAGCAGGATTCATGCCCAACATATAGTACTCATGCAACATTTATATAGCACTGTACTCTATTACAATCAATACATTTACAGTTATGGTAGAGTTCCAAATACTGTACTCTATAATAATTTTACCTGTGCCATGCATCCCAATACCATATTTTTCTTATTATGCTTCAAGATTATTATAGGTATGCAGTTTAAGGTTGCTGTCATTCCTGTTAATACTGTACAAGACATTTGGAATTTTAGTGTTCATTAAGGGTCACAAGCTTGTTACATATAGGTTAATATTACTGGGATTGCGTACTACTTGTAAAATGTGTACTAATAACTAAGTACAGTACTACTACAGTGGTGCACGTCCCCGAGAAAAGAAACTTACCTCCCACTCAGAACGGCTACCACCAGACTCTTGTGTGCCAACAACAAACATGTCAGGCATGTGATCCATTTCTTCAGGAAGCAAAAATGCTTCTAGGTTCATTGGTGGCTCCTATTAAAATGAAAGATTAACATATACTGTACTGTATTATTTAAACATGATAAAGACAACAAATTCATGCAGTGGAAATATCTTTAATAATTACTGTAATTGAATTATGGAAAATCAAGAAAATATGACAAATACAAATTAATTTATATGAACTCTTTATATGGGCCAATGACTAAACAATATTATTTAATACAGTACAGGTACTTGTACAACGAAATGCATAACTCTCCATCCAGGCTACAATAACCCTAAGCTCAACTGCTCTGTTAATATCTTCCTGGTATCCGTAAATACTAATGAAAAGGACCTGAGCATTGCAATAGACCATTTACTGAAAGAAACACTTGTAGGAACACCAGGGAACCATTCAACCAATCTCTAGGAGTCATGCACCACACCCTTAAATACAGAACATAAAAATATTGTTCAACGCTATAAATTCCCCATACATCCACAACTGGACTAATACAAATACAATCCAATATGGAGACCACACAAATAGAAATGACAACTTCCCTGTTTAAAGTACAGTACAGTGCACGATAATTACAATAATTCAAGAAAAAGGCACCTTGAATATCAAGAAAGATTAAAGGCTTTGTGATTGACAGTTCTTTACATAAACTGTCAGTATAACATTACCCAAATTATATCTAACATCCAGACATAAATATTATGACAGTAACATCTTTTTATGAGTTGAAAGAGAAACACCCAAAATCATAACAGTAATTAGAAAAAATATCAGTAAGACTAAAAATATACAGATTCAGACTTGTCAACTATTAAGTCAACAATAGGCGTTTATCAGCAGTGCATGGTTAAAAATTTCACGAGTCTATGGTTGTGCCCACCTTGCCATTCATGTTCCAAGTAGCAATAAAGATGTTAATTGTGCGGGTTGGGAAGTAGCGGTCTAACTCTGATGCCCCAAGCAGGCTACTCATCCCTCCAAAAAGATAGTTCCTGCGAAAAATTATGTAAATATAAATTTTTTGTGAAAATTCATGGCTTACAGTACAGTATAAGAAAATACATTTGGTATTTACTAGTTAAATAAATGAATGAATAAATAAATAAATAAACTTATTATTCTGAGATAACAATAAAATAATAACAAATTACATAATATGAAACTGATAATCATTGAAGATGCATGCCTCCAAAAAATACCTCATTAACCCAATAACTGCTGCATTTGGGAAATCGAGGGTATAATATTTAGAATCCATGAAAACCATATCAAACTTTATACTCATCATTGGTGGCGACTTACGAGTCTATGAAATGAGATGCAGTTTAACTGTCAACTGCTGAGCGATGGTTGTTGTGATGCAAAAGGTTGTTCTGGTGACAAAAGATGTGGTTGTGCAGCAGTGGGTTTTTGTAGTGCAAAGTGGGTGGTAAGCCCTTTCATAGACAGTGAGCCAGGCTGTGGCGCCAAAGGTGTGGGTGAGGGGCCATTGAGATTACGAGGAGGGGAAGAGGATGCCGAGGTATAAATAATAATTCAAAATCTTTCAAAGATGGTGATCAACTTTCCATGCTTTGTATGATTTTTGGAGCACAGCTTTAAAAGCATGACGCCAAATGCCAATCGTCTGAAGACGATGATGGCACGATTTGGGTAAATCAGTCTTAGATGAAGATAGCAGTTAAAGGGTGAAAAATGTCAGGAAGGCCTAAAAGGAGATGAAACACTTGAGTATCAATAATTATCTCCCAAGCACTTAACTAAGCAGAAAATTACCATAACTTTCTCAAAAGCAGGATCAGAAAAGTTAAGAGACCAATTGCCTTCACTCTATCGATGATAGGATTTACCTTTCTCAGATGTTATTTCACTCTTGGAAACAACATCTGAGAAAGGTAAATCCTATCATTTATCAGTCATTTCCCAAGGTATGACTCTAATTTTAAAAGACTGAAACTGTCTCAGAATCACTAACCATGGAAACAACCTATAACTATTGTATATGAAGAATACAGGCAAGCTTTCTATAATTTCCTCACACGGTCAGTGAGGCAAATCATCTCTAAAATGAAAACTTAGATCCACAGGAACCAAAAGACCTTACTCAATCACACCAAATAACATAGACCTAACGGTTGTCTCCACTGTCTCCACTGGAAACCAAACCCAGCAGAATCATGTTCAGGAGTCGTCAAAATATCTTCCTGTTTACTAGAAAATTAATTCCCACCATAAGGTAAATCATTCCAAATCATTAAGGTATGTACAATTGTCCCTAAACAGAAAATAAACTGAATATCAATTACCACCAAATTGCCACATTCCCTATGTCAAACAGAAAGGTTTGGTGCCTTGCCAAAATCCCCATGAGAGAGAGGACTCCAGTCACCCAAACCTCATGACACCAAAAGCAAACAACCCCTAAATTAAGTAAGCTATGTAGGATTAAGGTCAAAGACAAAGATTCCTTCATATGAACTAAACAAAAGTTCAATCAAAACTTAGCATAGAGCAACCCACATCACTTGGATAAAAATTGACCATAAAGCAAAAACCACCAAAATGTTCACTGGGAAAACCTTAGGGTCAGGGGTTCACATATCCATGGGTTGCTGTAAACTGACATCACATTATACACACTGGGCTAATGACAGATACAACAAACTCACTTTTTCTTAGCATCCACTGGTGATATTAATGGCAATCCATAAGAAAGACCAATGTTGTTCAGTTCATCTAAGGAGGCTGACCGGCATGTCTGAAGTGGCGAATCTGGGAGATTTTGACTCTAGAAACCCAAGAAGACATTATCACTAGACTGATGAATTTCAGTGAACCAGAAATATTTGTGACAATATTTGTGACTCAACAAAAATTGCAAAAATTACCCAGGAGAGAATTTAAATCTGCTTTTTTCTAGGATATTCGTGTGTGTGTGTGTGTGTAAGGGAGGGTATGGGGTGTGTTTAGTAAACTTAAAAAATGAAATGAAAATAAAGGTAACAAAAGAGTGTTTCAGTGTTCCAAGTGAAAGTAAGTACGTACTGTATATGAGAACATCAATCAAGAAGCACACACTATATTGAAGAGAGTGAGAAAAAACAAACTGTTTGGCAGAAAGGTGCAGGAGGTTAAGTGGAGAATGCTGGGGTACAGCAAGTGAGTACGGTTGAGTGTATAAGTGAGGAAGGAGTGCAAGGGTGGATCCAAGGGGGTCTTGGAGGTCCGGATCCCCCCCCCCGTCCCTCCCTTTTCACCAGAAAATTCCAATACTTTTTTAATGTAGTACTGTACTGTACTCAAGCATTCTTGTACTGTATAGTAAAAAGTAATTACTATTGACTTCAGAATATCTCCTAATATCAAGTGCTCATGGCTTCAAAATGGCCTCAATTGCCACATTCCCCCACCCACAACTTCTTTGATATTCCTGGATCCACCCCTGGAGTGGAGGGATACTGTAAATTAAGAGGTAACCAAGTATAAAGAGAGTAGGGGGACACTGATGGAGTATGTGGGTTGATACACGAGAGGAGGAACCGAGTAAAAGTATGAGGGATGGAGAAAGGAGAAATACATGAATAAAAGGAAGAAATGTGACAGTGAGAGGATAGCATGTACCTTATACTGAGCAATGAAATATATATATATATATTTTTTTTTTTTTTTTTTCTGGATGGGCAACCCACTGTTTACAGAAAAGTAACATGTTCAATACCAATTATCTTGTACAGTAATTTCATGTAAAAAAAATTAGCTTTCACATACCTCCTGTTCTTCATTTCCTTCAGAACCATCAGTCATTTTCTTGTATCCATACCATGATGTTGAACGACCCGTTAACCCTTCTACCTGTCATACAAAATTAATTTTATTAAAATAAACCAATATATTTTCATTTTATTATAAAGTCATGTTCAACTAACAAATATTAACAAAAAGTTCAAACACTTAAATTTTGTAAATACAGTACTGACTTGAGAAGGTACCTGATATCTGTTTCTCTGGATGTTTTATTCAGAAGGAATGTCTTGTGTTCTTCACCAAAACCATTACTATGGCCTTCTTCACTACTACATCTGATACTAATTAATGCAGTTATAACCATGACCTAAAATTAAAGCGGGCAAGAACTAGATATGCATTGTGACTGCATTACTCACCTGCCACAAGTATTGTGAAGTTTAAGCATAAAAGAGCTATATGTACCTTAAAATTATAGACAATCAACTAAGTCCTCTTTACTACTGTGGTCTTTGCAATTGTAAATTATATATATATATATTTTTTTTTTATTCATCTTATGTTAGATTACAATGATTATGAAAGTTGGTCACAAATTAATTTCTTGCTAGTAAATATATCCTGCACTTGAATTCATTATGTCTTGGTACAATATTTATTCCTAAGTTACTAATTATGGAAAAATTTCTTTGATGTCATGAAAGCAGGTCATGAGACCATGGATTTACCTAGATACTGAAAAGGCTCTATGCTTCTACCTGATGAACCAATTTTATAAGTTTGAACCAAATTAATCTCTCTCTTCTCAAAACAGTGACTATATTAAGTATATTGTATATGTTGTATGGAAGAAAGTAAAATGACAGTCACTGAGAAAAATTCTAAAGAAAAGAATTATGCAAGCTGACAGAAGGTTTAAAAACAGAAGTAAATAAACTGTCTTAGTGAGTCACATGTCTAGACAATATATTGTATAGCGATGTGTAGTTATCTCAAGTACAGTCCAATCAGCATACTTACAGTAATAAAACTTTGTTGAAGAAATTTTATGACTACAGGGACGTCCTATCCAACTTTGTTTCTAAAAAAATAAACTTTGAGGTGAAATGGAGCATAAATATTATTGTCTAAGTTTATAAAAAACTGTAAATTGTTTAGTACAACATGGTAAATTATGAGCTTAGGTGATGACTTACGTTCAGATAAAAGAAACAAGGATATGAACTCTGCACACACGATGCTGCTTTAAATGTTTGGGAATAATGTGCAGCTCTAAGTGACCAAGTAATTATTTATTGATGATGCTTTCTTATGGTTTGAGAACAGTGGTGCTGTACCCTGTATGTGAATTAAAAGGTGATTTATTTCTCAAAAGAATTGTTGAATGTTAATAAATTTTAAAGAAGGAAACTAAGAGTACAGTACAGGCGAGTTAAAAAGTAATGGAAAGTGGACAACTTGAAAAGAACAATGTTGACATGTGTAGACCAATATATGTATCCATAACAGCTGGTGGATTACATCAATAATTAGATGCGTGGATTGCTCTACTGTTATTGGGAGAAAAAAATGTACGGTAAATAAACGGAAAACTGATCCTCAAATCCATTTCATGGTAGAGCCTAAATCAGACAACTCAAGTGTAGCTGGACAAGTTTTCAGGTTTTTACCCAACTGTTAATTGGAACTACTGTACTGTACTTAGAAAATTAGCACAAGTTCGTGTTGCATCCCTAGTCCTTAGGTGCCACCTTAAGGGGCAACTTACACCTGCTTATAGTGTTTGTTAACTCAAGTTACAGATTAATTTGTTAATGTTGTTGTTGATAATGAAAACGAAACATAATGCAGTACAGTAAGATTTGTTACATTTTCTTATAAATCAAAAAAGAGTTAATAGCTCTGTTAAAATTAATACAAAATGCCATAACTACATACGTACAGCACATATCATCACTTGTGTGGTGGTGAGTGTCTAGTGTGTGGTGGTGAGTGTCTAGTGTGTGGTGGGGAGTGTCTAGTGTGTGGTGGTGAGTGTCCTGTGTGTGGTGGGGAGTGTCTAGTGTGTGGTGGTGAGTGTCCTGTGTGTGGTGGTGAGTGTCTAGTGTGTGGTGGGGAGTGTCTAGTGTGTGGTGGTGAGTGTCTGTGTGTGGTGGTGAGTGTCTAGTGTGTGGTGGGGAGTGTCTAGTGTGTGGTGGTGAGTGTCTAGTGTGTGGTGGTGAGTGTCCTGTGTGTGTCTTGATCACCTATCCATGATCATTTGTGACAAGTAAGGATAACACTAGCCTGCCCTCACCCTTCCCAACTTCACTCAGGACATCAGTTCAAGTCACACTGAACACCTACAGCTCACGTTTCTCAAGTAACTGTAAACTTAACCTATGTGGTAATGTTTCAATCTGTTATTTTTAGGTGATATAAGATTTTTTACCATGGTTTATCATGTGCATCCTTGAGAAAGCAATTGCCATTGACTGCAGATCTTTTAATTATTTCTTCAATTTTATATTTATATTAAATAAGGGAAATAATGTAATGGGGTTACTGGAGGTCAACCAGATTCTACTGCACCCATCCACCATGGTTGCCTTGACCAATCCCCACCACAATCACCAAAGTACTGTATTTATAAGTTCAATTTGCATTTCTTTTGTGTAAATTAATTTATATTAAATGTGACAATTTTCCTTCGGTAAAACATATACTCTATATTTTGTGTGAAAATTCATGCAGTATTAGCAACTAGGACTGAATTGCAATAAAAGTCCTCAGATATGATAGTACAGTACTGTAGAAACAATTTAGCTGCCAGCAGAAATGGTGGAAACATGCCAGCACCTGATCAAGTGCTAAGGTGATTGGAATGTGTGGTGTTATTCCTGTCATCTGGCTTTGTAAGTGAGCAACAAATGAAGGTTGTGAAGCACACATGATGTGCATGGCAGCATATCTCCTTTAGTTGGAACAATCTTACCAAGTATTTAAGAATCCAGTACAGTGGTCCCTCGGTTAACGAGCACAATTCATTCTAGAAGGTTGCTCGTTAGCCGAAAAATTCGTTAACGAAACCATTGTTTCAATGGGTTTTTGGGTAATTGGTTCCAGCTCACCGAAAATTGCCTAAAGTGAAACAAAAAAGGAAGTAAAGTACACTTACTTTGAGGTGTGTATATAGAAGGCTCCTTGATGATGATGATGGGAATTAGAATGGGGGTGGAGGAGAAGGGAGAAGAGAAGGCATTGGGATGGAAGAGAAGTCACCCCATGGTGCCATTTCACCCATGAAATTTTAGTTCTCTTGGTGTAATTCAAGATTATTTTCTTTAAATCAACACTGCACTGCATTATATATTGTCAATATGTAAAATAAATTTCAAAATGACCAATAATTTGACTGGAAACACAGAAAAAAGCATTTAGTTGAAGAGAGTCTCAAGCAAGATGTTACCCCCACTGAAAAGACACAGAGATTGACGCCTGTATGGTGTGTTGATAGGCTGTTTGGCGTGCTAAAAACTAGTTTCCCTGTACTTAAATTATGTTAAATAATTGTTAAAATTACTAAAAATTTTAATACAAGACTTTTAAAATTATTGAATAGTACAAACTTCTTGATATTTACTGAAATACATAGTAAGGAATTTAAGCCCTAAAACCGATTACTGTATTGGCGGACTAATATAACAGATAGTGTGCAAGCAAAAACATGTTGAGGGGCGCTTGTAAGGAATTCGTTAATCGAGGGAATGCTCGTTAACCGAAGTTAAGAATCTTATGGAAGGTAATTCGTTAACCGAAATCTCGTTAACCGAGGCGCTCGTTAACCGAGGGATCACTGTATGTTTAGGAAGGACAGACTATTTCTCTAATACCTTTTTGCTTAGTTCCAGTCAATAAATTGGGGTTCTGTAGCCTTGGGTTTTCACCCCTTAAACATGTCTGGCTATACATAAGAGTTGTCGAAGATTTGCATCAGGTTATAAAAGTAGTGTTCTCATCCCCATAATAATCTATACAAGAATATAAGTAAGAATGCTGTATTGGATGTGTTTTCAATAAGCTGCTCAGTACTCTGGTTCTGTAAGTATAGTTGTCCAGCAGGTTTATTTTAAGCATTTTGTGTCTCATGCATGGGTACGTGTGAATTTGTCCAAGTGCAGAAGTGCAATATGGTTCACAAAAGCTCGAAATAGGAAGTATTCTCATATTAGTCATCCCTGCACCCTGTTTTCCCCTACACAGCTTGAAAAATAAGTGTAAACCAAGAAAGATTAAATGTAGTACTGTACCATAAGCAGCCATGGAAAATCATTACTCCTGCACCACTGTATAGTATAGTATGCCAAAGTACTGTACTATACTGTTTTGGGATGAATAAGCCCTTAGTAACCCTGCTGGAGCTCTGCACCTATGGGAAAGCCAGGGGCAGGTTCTCTACCTTTGTCTCTTGTTGTGCATGCATAAGTGCATGCAAACACCTTTATACCTCAATGTAGTAGGTACTGGAACAGAAGGTGCAAGTAAGTGACTAAGCAGGGTAGAGGTAACAATGACTGTACAATTTTGAGGCACAAGAATGCATGAAGGAAACTTGGGAATTAAGCCATGCTGCTATATTCTGAAACGTGTTATACAGTATATTTTTCACTATTAGAAGCTATCTCCTGCAGGGTATCTGAAACCAAGAGGAAACACAGGTTCTCTCTTCGTGAGATCTGGTTTATTCCTACTGCTTCACACAACCCAACATTTCCTATCAGCACTTCATCCATTCACATAACCACTTGACACAAAGCTATTCTATCCACACACACACTGCTGCTGCTTCCTGTTTCTCCATCCATATCATTTTTACTATGCTCTATGCCTAGTCCATCCATATCCTTGGTCCTCTCCTTCCTATTAACCACAACAGATTTGTACACTAATTTGACTAATCTTTCACTTCCCACTCTTTCAATATGTCCATACCACTTCAACTAATCCTGATTAGTGCTCTGTCCAAAAACTTATTTTATTTCCACATCTTATTTCTGTGATTTCTATTCACTGCATTCTTTTCACCCAAAAATATGATCTCAAGTATTTTTTTCCTAAAAAAATAATGA